CGCGGAGGGCTTTTATCAGGCCCACAGTGGAACTGGCCATCTCCTGCTTCCAGTAATGCTGCTGCTGCTGCTGCATCCTAGCTTGCTTCGCCAGACTCTCTTAATCACTCAGCCGTTTCATGTTTTAATGTGGGTCCTAGACTCAGAACTCTGAGCATGAGATTTCTGTGGTGAATGTCAATAAGGGTTCGCAGCTTACAGAGATAATGTTTTAAGCATGTTTTTGTTTTAAGTAAAAAAAAAAATTGTTTGTGTCCTTTATAAAGTTTATATCTTCACTACCCGGCATTACATTTTATGACACACACGGCCCAGCCCAACAAGGTCTCACTGTGATGGATCAAGGGTCTGATTCAGTATAAGGCAGCTTCAGGTGTTCATGTGCACTGGTAGTCCCTTTGCCAAGATTTGATGCAGATGGGAGTCGTTCCGAAAAAAAAACTGAAGAAAACTGAAATGCAATATTAAGGATGTTTATAGGTTGCAAGATCTGATGTTTGGTATTGTTTATTTGCTCTCAGTTTCAATTTGTTGTTTGTTAGGGTTTTTTTGTAGTATGTTTCATGTTTGTGTATTTGTTGGTTGTATTAAATACAAATTGTCAAATAACATTCTTTTATTTTTAAAAAACTCTCATTTTTTGGAAGCTGCCTTACTCTGAATTAGACCATTGGTCCACCTGGGTCAGCACCATCTACTCAGACTGGCCGTGGCTCTCCAGGGTCTCAGGCAGAGGTCTTTCACATCACCTGACTCCTGATTCTTCTGACTGGAGATGCCGGGGATTGAACCTGGGACCTCCTGCATGCCAAGCAGATGCTCTGCCCCTGAGCCCCTCCCACACCTCATCTAAGGACTGCAGAGTGGTTTTCATATGGGTTGTGTACTGGGTTCAATGCATAGAGAAGACAGACGCTGAGTGCTTAGCAGCCCATACTTTACTGGCACACAACACAACAACTAACAAATGGTCGAATGACCAATTCCCCGAAAATAAGACCGACCCCGAAAATAAGCCCTAGCAGGATTTCTATGCATTTGTGGTATAAGCCCTAGTGTGTCTTCTTGAGAAAAAATAAATATAAGACAGTGTCTTATTTTCGGGGAAACACGGTATATACAGTCCCCGGGTGCCACCCACAGGTCCCATTGGCGGGGGTGGGACCTCCCAC